AATCGATCGCGAGGTACGTTGATTGGTAATTTCCCCACTAAGTTGGTACAATGACGTATAGCTATTGTGAACAGACTGATCAAACAATCGTTTTAGTTATTTTAATAACTTTGAAGGAAAAGTGTTAAATTAAAAAAAAGTGAAAAAAAATGAAAGCATTAATATCCATTCTTATTAAAATAATTACACGCTTCAACTAGTTGCAGGTATATTAATTGGTAAAAGAAATATTGTTTCCTGATTATTAAGTCTGGTCCGGCGCGGGACATTGGTGCTTTTTGATAGGACATTTGCACTTTTTTAATGGACATTTGCGCTTAAATGTTTAGGACATTTGCACTTTTTAAAAAAAGGACATTTGCGCTTTTTCAATAGGACATTTGCGCTTTCTCAACATAACATAAATAATCATTTAATATAAAAAAAAAAAACACAAAACATTCATACATTTATATACAGCTAAAAGCATCAACCTTTTCCCATCATGCTTGTGTCAGATGAAACGACAACACTCCAAGAGAGTTGATGGGAGTAAATTCCTTATAACAACCATGACGCTTTCTAAAATTCAACAGGTACAGCAGGTGGTTTAAAAATAAAATTTCGGTCTTCACAAATTGAAACAATATTAGATAAACTATGATGGTACAGTTCCTCGGACTATCCATGCAACAGAATAGCCACAAGAGGAATAAAGTTTCCAATTTTAATCCACTAATAAGGAAGCTAATTTAAGAATTTCGGTCAAATTTAATTGTTCCATTCATAAAAGTTTCGTTTTCTCTATCGTTTACCGAGAAACCGGTGCATTACACTTGCGCTCATTACCATTACATTTGCACACAAAAATCATTACGTTTGCGCACAGCTTTGGATTACATTTGCACGCATTCTTTTAGAGATAAACTCAGGTATATAAGGTAGATTATACTTATCTATTTATTTAACTATTATTTTCGAGCAGGATATGTCCGTTTTATTACGCACACTCACTTAGTCCTGGAACAATATACAGATAAAAATGCAGAAAAATAGTAAATCTAAAGATTAAAAGTACTACTTTCACACGTCGTAACATGCTCAAATATATGCGTAGTACGCTTGGATTCTTCTGCATGCCCAAAGACTTGGAGGAAAATTGGAATCCGGTGAAATACCTTTGCAATTATTTACGATGCTTCTCTATGAAATATCTCCTGACTTAAGTGTTCCGTCTATACGGAAAGTAAATCTATCGTTTGTTCGGATGAACTTTCAAAGAATATGTGAACATCTTTCCATGACTTTGGTAAATTTTCTAAAGATTACAGGTATACAACTATTATAGGTAAAAAGCGCAAATGTCTTGTCAATTTTGTTCAGGTGTAACAAAGTTAAAAGCGCAAATGTCGTTTAATGTTACAGGTAAAAAAGCACAAACGTCCTGCGTCTGTTTGGTCACGCATTGTCTTTCACGATCGATATAATGCGTTGCCCGATCTTTCACGATCAACTTTAATGAAAAATCAACAAAATTCAGTGTTTTTAAAAACAAAATGAACGGTTTCAAGAAAAAAAAACTTTTATTTTACTGTATTATCTGTCACACAAAAGATTCAGTTTAAAATATATCATTATATTCTGGAATGTAGTCATTCTATGTACAAAACGTGTTCTTTTTTTAATGAATCCCATAGACTTGTGTTGCGCCTTTTGTGTTTTCTCATAAAGTACTGCATATTTTATTTATCTTATTGCACAGTATTATTGAGAAAGTTCAATAATTTTGACAGACATATTTTTTTTTTCTGATTTGTTCCGCGTTTTGAAAATACAACCGATTTTTCACAGATTTGGAAGTAGAATTTCAATTAATTACATTCACGAAACAATACCAGATCTTTCACGATTCGACCGCAATGCTTGACCACCGTTAGGTATTCTTTCACGATATACCGATTGACAGCCGTGAATAATGGGGTATCGTCATCTCGAATCGATTTTATATTGACAACAAAATTATTTACTAGAAAAAATTACAGTATATTTGAAGACTTGTTGAGACAATTGGAAGACTTTTGTTTATATTTCGGCACTAATTATTCAGGAAGTCCTACCTCCGCAGATGAACTTCATGTCATTTTAAAAAGCCAATTAAAAGTAGATTTACGACAAATCATGATACCTGAAGCTATTCGTTTTAATGGACGTCTTAACTTACTACCAGATAGTGAAAAATTCATATGAAAATGTTGCTACTATATAGTTGCCAAAACCTGCAACAACATTTAATTGAGGAGAAACGGTATTTTATTTCACAAGTTTCAAAAGAAACAAAATGTTTTACAATCTGAATCTGACATTTTCTTCCTCCTATCAGATGAAGAAACGTAGGTTATGTTCAGTGCAGTAGATGAATAATCAAAAGAACACCAATACAGAATTAATCCGGGAAAGAGTCTAAAGGTTCTTTTTCAAACAAAATTAACAAAAATTCTAAATGTAAAAAGTATCTTATTTGTTCTCGGCCACTTGGAGACAGATCCATAGCTGAGGAAGACAAGAACACCCATCTCGGTTTTATTAAGACATCGTAGAATGAACATCTGATAAACTTAAAAAAAACTCATAACTCTACCACAAAGAACCTTTCATTGATCATTGATGTCAACATGAGTGCATAGAACAAACACCTTAATTAAATACACGTATTTACAATAATATTATAAAATTTACATATTGACTCGGTTTCTTTAAAGTCTTGTCACTTACTGCTGGTCAATTGAATGCTATGGGTGATTTCCGATTTATTCCCTTTTTTAAACAATCAGGCTAAACCAAACAAAAACATCTGCAGTAGCTGTTTATCCATTCTTGACGCTCTTACTAGGCAATTAAAAGCCTTCTGACCTCAATTTTTACTGCAGAAAAATATATTATTAAGGGACACCTTGCTGAGTCAATACTGAATGGATATGTGTAAAGATGGTTTTCTCCATAGAACATAAAATAATTAAATTTAGTTTTGCTTCGTTAATAAGTAATTCCTTTATGTAAGGATCTGTTTTTAATTAGATTGTGATGATAAAATGTATGTGCAGCGAAATATATATCAGAAATCTATGTGAACGCTGTTTTAACTTTGTATTTTTAACAAAAAAGACTTACAGTTATATTCATTATGGTTCATAACCAAAAGTACTTAAAAAAGTTCTCTAATGTTTTCATGCTTTGTTGCAATCCTTAGCCGAAGAAGTTTACACGGATAACTAACACGTGTTATGAGGTTCTTATAATCAAAAAAGGGGAGAGATTAAGTGTTCATCAATTTACACTCGAATCCTTTTTATGGACGAGGTTGTCTCAAAACAATTGTTGTTTTCGTATGGTTCGTCTATTAGCAAAACGACGAGCTTTATATTTAACGACACTGAAAATGTGTACGTGTTATAAAAATAAGAAGATGTGGTATGATTGCCAATGAGTCAACTCACCACAAAAGACCAAATGACGTAGAATTTAACAACTATAGGTCACCGTAAGGCCTTCAACAATGAGAAAAACCAATACCGCATAGCTAGCTATAAAGACCCCGAAATGACAAATGTAAAGCAATTCAAACGAGAAAACTAACTTCCGGTATTTCAGTTGGGGTCTTGATTGAATATTGTATTGTTTAACATGATATTTTGTTTAACATATTTAGTTTACCGATAATCAATTAATATTTCAGAAGTCAAGATAAAAGATTGGCAGAAATGGGAAACAAAACAATTGCAATGGTATGAACGGATGGGTAAGTAACTCTTGCTGAACATAACGTACGGCACCCTACACACGGCTCCAAAGACTGACCCAGTGGTAAAACTGGTAACTATCCCCACAACATTTGGACATTACAAACAGATATTGCGTAATTATTCCACTGTTTGAGTACATCGCTTTACCAACTGCAAAAACTTCCTATATATTTAATATTGTCACATGCAGACTTTTCTGATTGGTGATTATAACACATCTTTCGTTATACAGATTCGTGGTATTGTATATAACAGTATATTCATATATAATCACCTTTATTTTAATTTGTGTTTGTTCTTTTCTAACTCCATTTTCAGAGACCATGGCTATATCACGGATTTACCGATTTATAAATTGTATTCGTCTGAATCGCTTTTCTGGATTAACCTTCATTATGAACGCTCAAATAAAAAAAGAAGTGAAAGCCAAATATGTATAAATACTTGATAAAAGCAATTGAAGTTCAGAATGTTATTTATACTGCAGCTGGAACACTACCTGTTGTCTTTATTTACCAAATATACGGCAACATAGAGATATTTTGTGCAATGTCTATTTCATGTCACGTCACATCTTAACCATTTGGGGTTTGTTTAGTGATGAAAAATAAGTTGTATTTTTGTGTAAACATTTTCAGAACAATAAGTGTAGCAATTGTTAGCTGTAGTATATAAAAACAATATTAGGTCAATGTCAGAAAAAATCTAATTTTTTTTTGTTCGGCTCGAAACTGTTGAAGGGCTCGATAAACCTCGATCTTCCCCTGTTTCCCAGCCTCATATAAAATAAATTGATATTTCTCTGATATTGACCTAATATTTCATATTTATGTCTGAGTATATATTTAAATAAAAAGGGGAATTGTAATATACGGCAATGAGACAGTAAACCAAAAGCACAAAACAAATCATATGTATTATTGTATGAGAACAATAGGTACACACACTATACTCTATGATAAACAAACCAATTTTATATTTTGGTTATCGTGAGTAGAAATGAACAAAAACAGATTTTTTTTTTAAATTACACAAATAGATTGGAAAAAGTGTAATTTTCATAACAACCTATTGTTTCCCTTTTTCATCGTGAATCCTATTTCAATACGTAGTCCACAAGCTTATGTGTCCTAAAATTCGAAAGCAATTAATAACAAGTAAAAAGTTATGACTAATAATCACTTCTCGTGGGGTTTGGATGTTTAAAAATAACAAGTTACATAGATTTTATAGAACTTCTTTATCTATGATTTCATTAAGTTCATCCTCTAAGCAAGTTAAGTAATTCCTTGAAGGATTTGTTGTTGTTTGGTCTTGTGTTAATGCACTTTGGTCCAGACGTACAACCTAAGAACGAGAACAAAATAGGGTTAAACAAGTTCAAACTGCAAAAGTCGTAATTAGTACTAGTATACCTTAAAGATAATATATATGTTTAATGAATGCTATACCCATGAGTTTAATCAATTAGGTAGCACCGGTCAAAGTCCACGATAAAGGATAGTACAAGAATGTATTGCTAAATGAAAGTAATTAGCTTGTTATTAATGGAGGCTATTGTTTCAGGTAGGTGAAGGTTGGCGCCTATTAAAACGTTTAAACCCGCTGCATTTGTTTGGACCTGTCCTAAGTCAGGAACCTGATGTTCAGTGGTTGTCGTTTGTTGATGTGGTTCATAAGTGTTTCTCGTTTCTCGTTTTTTATATAGATTAGACCGTTGGTTCTCCTGTTTGAATGGTTTTACACTAGTCATTTTTGGGGCCCTTTATAGCTTGCTGTTCGGTGTGAGCCAATGCTCCGTGTTGAAGGCCGTACTTTGACCTATAATGGTTTACTTTTACAAATTGTGACTAGGATGGAGAGTTGTCTTATTGGCACTCATACCACATCTTTTTATATCTATGTAGCTTGTTATCTAATGGAGATAAATATCTTGTTACTAAATTGAAGTGTGTGTCTTGTTACCTAATGGAGGCATGCATCTTGTTATTCAATGGAGATAAATATCTTGTTACTAAATTGAAGTGTGTGTTTTGTTAACTTATGGAGGTATGTATCTTGTTACTAAATGGAAGTATAATATCTTGTCGAGATGTATATCTTTTAATTTAATAGAAGTATTTTTCTTGTTACTTAATGAAAAAATATGTATATTATTACTTTATAAACGTATTTATATTGTTGCTTGATAAAGGTATACATCTTGTAACGTAATGGAGGTACAATGTATTTATCGTGTTACCTGATGGAATTCTAAATGGAGGCATATATCTTGATATTAAATTGGGGTATATATATTGTTACTAAATGGAGGTATATATCTTGTTATTAAATGGGGTTATATATCTTGTTACTAAATGGAGGTATGTATCTTGCTTGTTACTATATGGAGGTATATTTCTTGTTACTAAATGGGGGTATGTTTCTTGTTACTAAACGGAGGTATATTTCTTGTTACTAAATGGAGATATGTTTCTTGTTACTAAATGGAGGTATATTTCTTGTTACTAAATGGAGGTATGTTTCTTGTTACTAAATGGAGGTATGTATCTTGTTACTAAATGGAGGTATATATCTTGTTACTAAATGGAGGTATATTTCTTGTTACTAAATGGAGGTATGTTTCTTGTTACTAAATGGAGGTATGTATCTTGTTACTAAATGGAGGTATATATCTTGTTACTAAATGGAGGTATATTTCTTGTTACTAAATGGAGGTATGTTTCTTGTTACTAAATGGAGGTATATATCTTGTTACTAAATGGAGGTATGTTTCTTGTTACTAAATGGAGGTATGTTTCTTGTTACTAAATGGAGGTATATATCTTGTTACTGAATGAACCTATTTATCTTGTTACTTAATGGAAGTATGTATCTTGTTACTTAAAAGACTAATTTAACTTGTTGCTTTGAGGAGGTATGTATCTTGCTACTTAATGGAAGTTAAACATTGTGACATAATGGAGGTATATGATATAGTTATTGAACAAGTAAATCGGTATATGTCATTTTATCTGCACGGCTCGGGTGACCCTGCTTGACCCGAACGACGCAGGAGTTCGTACGTCGTTCGGGTTAAAGGGTCATCCCGACTGTGCAGATTAAATGACATATACCGATTTGATTGTCCAATAACTGTTTAACACATGGCGCCATCAATTTACATGAACGTTTTGGAAATATGCCGACGATATTCAATCCACGGTTCATAGTAAAGTTCTCTTGTAGGGTAAAGAAAGGCGAAAATACGCTTTTAAGTAGTAAAAGGTTGGTAACTTTTACATTATGAACTAAGATAAGGCTTTCTCCTATATTGTTACTTTATTTGCGTTTTTTTTTTAAATTGCAGATCTTTGATTGTTTCTTTTAAATGCATTCACATTTTTTCCCCTCAAGAATATGCTCATATGAAGATTAATTCGAAGAGAGATGTGCCTAAATTAATAGTGCAAAGAATACGGGGGAAAAGTTTCAATTTTCAATATTTAACTTCCCTCCTCTCCCCCCCAATTTTTAAACTGTATTCGGTGAATAATTTTGAAGACATCTTGCATTTTAACCAAGTATGATTGATCTTCAACTTATATATTTTTCCAGTTTTTGCACATACTTAAATATAAATCTTATAAAATTCGATCCCATAATGATAGTCACCTTAAAGATTATTTGGATATTCTAAAATACACTCATTTTTTGGCAGAAATTATGATTTTTTTTTATTTATCTAGTCAGACTTAGTTTAACAATGGTTTCAGATTTACATTGTACTTGTGAGATACTTCATTTTTTGAAACAAAGTTGTTGATTTGTCAACTGTCGTAATTGCAAGGTCAGTGGCGGATTCAAGGGGGGGGGAGGGGCATAAAGGGCGTACACTACATTTGATTGGAAAATATATAATTTTTTAGCATAAAATCGTCAAATCTTTTTTAATAGAATTACGCCTCCTTTGAAAAATCCTATCCGGCCTTAAAAGGTAAGAGTACATCTGAACTGTGCAGTATATCTGAGGTAGTTAATGCACACCGTAGCTGTACAGTCTCCAGATTATTGCATCTCGTTACTTGATGTATATATATCATGTTACTTAATAGAGGTCTATATCTTGTTACATAATGGAGGTATTATTTTATTAATTAATATCTTGTTAGTTAATTGGATCGTCTTTTTTGAGTGAATTGATCGTGTGTTTTTTTCAAGTGTGAATATGATGCAAAATATAAACAAACAGATTAGCATTGTATTTCCCTGAGTTTGTTTTTTTTTTTAAGATATTCGAGGAAATTTTGTTTCTGTCTGTGAATAAAAAGAAATGTGGGTAAACGTCAATGAGACAGTAACCCAAACGAAAAAATAACCACAAGACCAAAAGACCTCTAGAGGTAGGGCAACAATCATTCTTCAACAATATAAACGTGTCTATACAATATCTCTAGCTCTAAATCGTTCCAATTCCATAAAAGTCGGGAATAGATTTAACAAAAACAATCAAAGATCTGAAATTAACGCATCCATGCAGTTTTGATATTTGATTACAGTCAACAAATCAATTAATTCAACACGGCGGGTTTCACTAGTGAAGTAGGAATTATCGAACTGCTGACTCTTATGAAGCAGGAATTAACAAATGGGATATAACATCATAAATTGTACGGTGAAGTGGTTTATAGTACCCGTAAGTTAAGATACGATCCATATATACATGATTGTTCCTATGATTAACTCCGTCTTAAAGTTATCATTTGTTAATCAATGTTCATCAATTGTTAAGTAAGATCTTTTAAAATTGTCATTTTCGGTACTAGCATTGATTCTATTTTTAATAGTGTAATACATAACTAAACATGTATTATATCCAGGTTTAAAAACAAAATAATGGCCCTACATCATGTTGATACTTAGCTCGTGCTTTTATCAGACTGCTTTTGATCGATGTCTATATACTAAATCTGTTTCAGGTGTACGGATTGACATTTTAGCCTGAGATTATCGTTTACTAGTATTTATTAGTTGAAATTGGGTTTTAGACTTTATACAAAGGTCAAGAGCGTCTGGGGTTTAATGTGTACATGATAATATAATAATTGTATAATGCTTAATTATTTCTAATATGTCGGTTTATTGTCTGATTGTATATGTTAATTCTGTATGTTGTAAATTTTTTTTAATTTGAAATCACTTTATAAAAGTCGACACACAATAGTCCGTCAAAATCCCATTGTATAACGTTCAAAGCTATAGGACACTTTACCGAATGTGCTTTTATAACAGACACGGGAACACACACATACAAAAAAAACCACACACACATACTAAACTAGAAAAGAAAAACTCACAACGACAGAGAATACACCCATTGTCATCGATTTGGAACAGGTTACCGGGACAAATTCGTCTACATCTTACACGATTGCAATCCCCGCTTCTTTCAGTCGTTCCTACAAAAATCATTGATTAATTTCGACTGAATTTATATCGGAGTAATTTTCTTGCCAGACATTAGAAGTTGTGTGCTCTTAGTATTGTTGTTAACAATTGTTTTAAAACACATCTTATTATTTAGAAAATTTATACATCTACTTTAAGTTCGTAATATACTTTTTAAACCAGGAGTAAGATTATTATATATAAAATAATTCTAAAAATGTCTTTTATTTCTGATGATTACCATACTTCTTTAAAAAAAAAACCCATCTATATAACCTTACACTTGAACAGGAGAAGAGGTATACCTGAATATTTTAAATTTTGGCATTTAATTAAATTTAAACCTGATTTTCTTACCATAAGTTATGAGAATTCCAATAATAAGGAAAAACATGTAATATTTTCCGTCCATCTTTCTGACAGTTTGATTGCGTGATGATGTGAACACGTATTGATTGAACATTGATACCTGTATATATATATATTACATTTTAATGAGAGATTTTTTCCTGGTATGACTGACCGTATTGTGTTAACTGGAATGTTTTGTTCATTCGCGTTACAACGATTTCACCGAACTGTTTATTTTGAAAATAGGATTCAAATTACGTATACAGTATTAAAAAAATCAAGTTACACGATCCTTCAATTCCGATAGCCAAGCTTTTGTAGTTAATATTATTATGTATACATTTTTATGATATGCTCAGAATATGAACCGACAGTATACGTCAATGAGACAACAATATGAAAACACTAGAAAACAAAAGAGCCATCTAGAGGTCAACGTACGGTCTTTAGCGATAGATCTGTCTATACCGTATACCAAGCTCTAAATCGCACTGTCATTCTACACAACTTGTCTTTTCCAATTACATCGCGGGTCCGTGACTGAATTAAAGTACCTATGCCTTATTTTTATCCTGGATTTTTAGTATTCGTATTGACATCTGATAAAGTCATGCTGATTGTAAGGTGCACAGTTTTCTCTACTTTCAAAACCTTTCTGTTTGAAACCGTCCTGGTTTTCTTACAACAATAAACTTACTATAAACTAAACTTAATTTTTTAACTAATTAACCAAAATGAATAGTGGTATTGGGGTGCAAGAAAACAGACTTGTTAAATAGTGTACTATTATAGAGTATCATAGATATAAAACAACTACTGGAAGAATTCCAGGTTCTCCTGAGAGAGGAGGGATATACAGAGGGTAACAGGTAACTACAACCGGAAACTACATGTGGCATATACTATTGGTATCGGTATCGGTTTCGACCCGGAACTTGTTAATTATTGGTAATATTAGTTATGTGGAAAACAAAAGGGCCTGGAATGGTGTAATTTTTAAACAGCACCATTGTCCTATATTAGAGGAGGGACGAAAGATACTAGAGGGACAGTCAAACTCATAGGTCGAAAACAAACTGACAACGCCATGGCCAAAAATAAAAAGACAAACAGACAAATAATAGTACAGATGACACAACATAGAAAACCAAAGACTAAGCAACACGAACCCCACCAAAAACTGGGGGTGATCTCAGGTGCTCCGGAAGGGTAAGCAGATCCTGCTTAGTTATATGTAAAATTGAATTCTCCGATTCGTTTTTACGTCATGCAGGTTTACAAATTGGACCTAGTTATTTTAATAGTATAGATGTTATACTAATACCACACCCACTACAACAAGGATTGTTAACCACAAACACATGTTTCAGGTTTTCAACATTGATGACTTTCAAAAATAAAACTCTTGATTGTACTTATGCAAGTTTCCTATTCATATTAATCCAGATGTCTACTTTATTACAATAATAGTGTTCTTAATACAATGAGCCTAAATCCATAAATAGGAAACACGACTTTAACATTCGACTTGATTCTTTTGCGGATTATGCTAGACAAGGGACAGAACCGGAAATGTAGAAGACATAGAAATTATTTAATTACGAATGTGTTATAGCTATGAGGTTATTCAAACAAATAGAAATTTAAAATTCAACGGATCTATGAAAACTCATGCCACATATATATTTAAAGACAACTGACTTACTGTTATGACAAAAACTCGAACAATATTAGTTTTGTTAGTAAATTACATTATATGAACGGAATCATAAAGTTATTGACAATTCATTGGAAATCCAGGATATACCCAATGACACTCACAAAGAGAATTCTTGGACAAGCATAAGTCTGTCTATTTTCCATTTAGAATTTAAACAAGCGACGAAGACGTGAGTATCCTTAGCTCCACAGGACACCCCAATTGCACAAGTGTCCGTCCTTACAAACAACGTTATACTGCAAGCTATGCCAAACGCTCCATTTAACACTCTTTTCAAATTACTTAGTTTAACATCATTTCTATACGAAATATAACTGGGCTTCAGAGGTGTTATAGAAACTACATTTGTTGTTGGTGTACTACGATTGTTATGAATCGATATTGATTAAACAAATCCAAAGGTCTGCTGAAAACAAATAATCAAAGTAATATGTCAGTAATAGCATAGACATTTTAATCCTTAAATTTGCAATGGTTTTCTTTATTCAAAACGTTAAATCATATTGAAAGAATTACATCTATTTTGTTACATAAAATGAATAGTCAGTGTAGTAACAAATATATTAGTTTAGAACAGGACAAAAAGGAAGGAAATGTTCAATATAGTACAATCAAAAACCATTAGACGAAGAAAAACAAATAACAACATGGCCCTTCAAGGCAATCAACTATCTACAAAATTACAGAAAACTAAAGATTGAGATAAACTAGCTCCAGTGATGAACGGGGGTCTCCATGAAAAGGCAGCAGCAGTTCCTGCACCACTAGTGACAACAACCTTTCCATCCTTTTAAAATACGTGACTTGATGTAACTTAACACAACCGCTGACGATGTTATTGGACATGAGAAGTGTACACATGGCTGGATTAAGCTCAACCTTGGCCTTTTATTCTCGACCAATGGAATAAACGAAGTTGTACAGAAGAAGGTACAATATTAATAAGTCAAGAAAATAATGTTTTGTTATTGACGTTTTTGTATTTTGATAGAGCTGATATCATAAATATTAGATTAATTAATTTTTTCAAGTCTAGACTATGTGAGAAAAGCTACAACGCTACTCCTGAAGCATTAATGCAGTTATTTTCCATTTTACTTGGCTAGTTACGACGCATGGCGCCTGGTAGATAACTATTATAACCAATAATGATTTCACACATGCATTTTCGATTGATTTGATTAAAAAAAAAATTCCAGCACCTCGCTAGAACTTAAGATTTATAGATGTAATCCGTTTTTATCTTTCAGCATTTTAATTAGTTACAAATTATCGAAGGATCTATGGCATTTAATATCAAATTATATTATATGCTTGTATCGTGTGTGTTTTTCAAAGTTACATAACATTGCTTAACATTTATTTTATCAAACAACGTTATCCAAATAATAAGCTCATGATTCGTGAAAAGTAAAATGAAAGAAGAAAAATAAAGGAACATGGAAAATAAAAAAATATATAACAAGAACAAGCCATGGAGCACTCTCAGTTATTGAATAAAATTGAGTAGTTCAAAGTCGATTACAACTAATAAATAAAATTAATCATGTTTCCCAGACCAAAGTTTTAATCAGTACACTTCCAATGGATTTAATGTAAGTAGTGTTTGTCTTTGAAGACAAATCTGCCGCGTCTCAAAGTTAAAAAAAAAGTTAAATCCGAACAAGATCTTGTTGTTCAATAGACAGCATATCAATCGTTTTGTTCATCTTAACTTCAGGTATTTAAAGAAATTCAGTTATTTTAGGTACGGAGGGAAGTATTGTAACGAACTACTTTAGCAAGGTAAACCTACAGTATTTCTGATAAAATTGTACATAAACCTATAAAAGACTTGTTAGAAAGTTCTTAAGTCATATAGTAAATATTTACTTTGATGAATTATTCAGAAATGATTAGGGGTTACCCTGATGTACAGCATATTAATTATTTTGACCAGATTTGCTATTATAAAGTACATCTAAACAAAATAGTTTAGTTTCATTGTGTAACTATTTTCAATATCTTAAATATTTGATATCATGCTTTGTTTTTTATTTCATTTTTGTTTATGTATAAAATTTACTGTGCGGCATGACCGTTAAAGACAGTAAAGACAGACAAACAAGGATATTTTCAGTCCTCTTGTAAAGACTGAATACTAGTATTCCAAAAAATTCAAATCGAACGTTGAACTTCATACAAAAAGTATCAAATCTAACGTCAATACCTTCAGCTTCAGTACTGTTTTTATGTCTTGATTTCCACATCATCTGACACATTACGGGTTTTTTAAATGGATCTATGTATTGGTTCAAAGCCGGTATAATAGTAGAAGAAAAAGGGGCTCAAGATAAGCACAGCGAGACAATTTTTCTTAGCTATCTTGTCTGACGACAAAAACCCTAAAACTTATTAATCTCATATTGAAAATTCTTTTTTGAACTATTTTTTGTGGTGTTGTAGATATATATATCCATATTTATATATTCCATTTGATTCGCTTTCCATGGGCCAGTGTCCACTAAAGTGAGTTTCTTGAGTTTGCACAATTTATACTGCCACATAAACTGCTTGGTCAGTGGTGTACACGTATTCAGCCTAATACTAATATCACTACGACAATTATTTAATAGTCAGATCAATGTCCCATAAATTCCTATCAACCCATTACCTCATCTTTTACCTATAGTGACAGTTTGACCTTTTCTTGGCTTCAGCCTCTGGTTAGAATGGCGAATTCCGCAAAGAGTTATCTTTTTAGAGTAATTAGTATCACACCTGCCTGAATTTGCTGAGATGTTGTCTTCGGCTTAATTTTTAAAGTGTTTATCATGTTTTAATGACTTTTTCTTTGACGTCATTCTTTCTGTATACTAGTACCCATATATCGAAGTCAAATAGAAGTATTGGCTTAATACGGTGACCTATAGTTGCTTATATCTACGTTATTTGGTTATTAGGTGGTAAGTTGTCTCAATGGCAGTCATACCTCACCTTCTTATTTTTATATTAATAATTCTGTCAAACAATTCTATCTGGCATTTAACTGACAAATTCCGTCTTTTTCAAAGTGCAATAAAATTAGCCTTCTCATGTTGTGTATTTTGGTGAGTATAAAAAACAAGTTCTTGTAAAGATGATACCTTGATAGCTTAAGTCCCCAACTATTTCACTTTCTTCATTATTAAAGAGAACCTACATTTTCATTCATTTACGATATCAGATTGCGGTATACTCACATATTATATATCGTCTTAAGGGTATTGAAATGCGCGCAAATTACCCATAGATGTATACCGATTGCAGATGGAAGGAATATATTGCTTATTTTTCAAGACTTGATACCATTGAATATATTTTTATGACTTTTTGCACAAAGTAAGCATGAGCAAGCACCACTTAGTCTTCGATGATTGTTGTAACACCACCGCCAAGTCTTAAATGATAGTTGTAAACAGCACCACTA